TCACACAGTTGCCACAATTATGTACATTCTTTTTACATGCTTTTCCCTTATCTTCCATATCTTTACAATATTTTTGGTGATTAAAATTTGAATGCCTGCATGATACTTTTTCTTTCGCTGCCCCTAATTTTCCCTAGTTATTGAGCATTTGGCATTTCACAATAACTGAATTGGTTTGTAGAAATTCAGTGGATGTCACGGATGTACACTATTCTTGCTTCCACTGTCATGGAAGTTTTAAATTATGGAATCACCATAGAATACATTGGGGAACTATCCAAAAGGAATATTTACTAAGGTGAAATGATGCTCACGATAGATGAAATGATTTTTGTTTAAAGACATAATATTTGTACATGTATGTCTCTGATTCTAAGTAAGCAGGAGAGGAGGCAATGTTGCACCTGGCCCCTGCGTATTACCTGGGCTGGCTTCAGCACTAAGGTATTGCCTGCTGCCAAGCAGGCGGCACTCTTCCACGCCAACATCATCAGCGGGTAGTTCCAGGGAATGATGATGGCACAGACCCTGCAGAGGAAGAAAGATGACATCCTTAGTTGTCTCCAGTGAACACAAGTCACTCAGAGGCTCTCTTCTTGTCTTACCCAAGTGGCTCCTTCTTGGTGAAGGTCAGATTGCGATTTGGACGGGCCTGGTTGATGGGAATTGTAGAACCCTAAAGAACAAAAAAGGTTGATACTTATTTTACTCACTTCAATGAGTAAATTTAATATCCAGTTTCAAAATAGGTTAGAGATTTGAGGGTATTATAGGTGACTTAAAATTTTTTTTCTTTAAATTCAAAGACTTTATTCTCAAGGAATCTATGTTCTGTCTGCCTCTCTTGTTTTTTCTAAGCTGATATGAAAAGGCAATGTTTGATTTTTAAGAAATATATCCACACTAAGAAAGAATTGCTATTTCTTTCTCGAAAGAACGGAGACACAGGAGAATAAACATAATTGTCATTTAGTCACCTCCAGTCCAATTTCTTGGCACAGCAGAGAATGTTAATTGCCTGTCCAATGTCCATTCTCCCCTCTGCCCTTAGTAACTGAAACCCTATATTAATAATGGTGGTGGTAATGTGCCCAGATAGAATAATGTCTTTCCCAGTTTCCATCACAGATAGGGATGGTCAAGGAAGGTGTAAGTACAAGGCATGGGAGGTGAATGCTGTTTAAAAGAGGCTGACTCAGCTCAGACTAGTGTTCTATTTTTTTTTTTTAAGATTGTATTGGGGAATTGGGGAAGGGGAACAGTGTTGGGGAATTGGGGAGGGGAACAGCCAAGTTGTTGTCCTTCAATCTTAGTTGTGGAGGGCGCAGCTAGCTCAGCTCCAAGTCCAGTTGCCATCCGACCGCCTGTCGGCAGCTTGTGGCAGCTCAGCTCAAGATGCTGGTGTTCAATCTTAGTTGCAGGTGGGCGTAGCCCACCATCCCATGCGGGAGTCAAACCGGCAACCTTGTTGTTAGGAGCATGTGCTCTCACCAGCTGAGCCATCCTGTGGCCACTCTTTGGCAGCTCAGCTCGGGCACAGCTCACTGGCCCATGTGGGCATTGAACCAGTGACCCTGTTGCTCAGAGCTTGCACTCTTAACCAACTGAGCCACTTGGCTGGCCCCCGACAAGTGTTCTTATACCTTCCCCCCCCACTCTCATTTCTTCCTTTTTCCTGCTTAGAATGTTGGTGAAATGGCTGGCACTGCAGAAGTTATCATGAGACCATGAGGCAGCCTCGAGAGTGGAGATCATGCGGTATTAAAGATGGCCTGGTAGAGAGGAGGAACCTTCGTCTCACATACTAGACCTGACTGTCTGCCTTTGTACTCATTGAATGTGAGGAAAAACTAACTTCTTTACTGGGTTTTCTATTATACACAGCCAAACTTAATGCCAACTGCTTTACGATAATAGTCTTTAACTGAAGCTATATATTTGTTTTGCCACATAAAATGTTATTGCTGTTACAAATACAACTAAGTATACAATCTGTTACCTGAAACCCTTAGGGCCAAGTGTATTTGGGATTAGAAAAATAATATAATGCATATACCTTATATTATATTATGTTATATTANGTCCAATTTCTTGGCACAGCAGAGAATGTTAATTGCCTGTCCAATGTCCATTCTCCCCTCTGCCCTTAGTAACTGAAACCCTATATTAATAATGGCGGTGGTAATGTGCCCAGATAGAATAATGTCTTTCCCAGTTTCCATCACAGATAGGGATGATCAAGGAAGGTGTAAGTACAAGGCATGGGAGGTGAATGCTCTTTAAAAGAGGCTGACTCAGCTCAGACTAGTGTTCTATTTTTTTTTTTTTAAGATTTTATTGGGGAATTGGGGAAGGGGAACAGTGTTGGGGAATTGGGGAGGGGAACAGCCAAGTTGTTGTCCTTCAATCTTAGTTGTGGAGGGCACAGCTAGCTCAGCTCCAAGTCCAGTTGCTATCCGGCCGCCTGTTGGCAGCTCGTGGCAGCTCAGCTCAAGATGCTGTGTTCAATCTTAGTTGCGGGTGGGCGTAGCCCACCATCCCATGTGGGAGTCAAACCGGCAACCTTGTTGTTAGGACCATGTGCTCTCACCAGCTGAGCCATCCTGTGGCCACTTGTTGACAGCTCAGCTCGGGCACAGCTCACTGGCCCATGTGGGCATTGAACCAGTGACCCTGCTGCTCAGAGCTTGCACTCTTAACCAACTGAGCCACTTGGCTGGCCCCTGACAAGTGTTCTTATACCTTCCCCCCCACTCTCACTTCTTCCTTTTTCCTGCTTAGAATGTTGGTGAAATGGCTGGCACTGCAGAAGTTATCATGAGACCATGAGGCAGCCTCGAGAGTGGAGATCATGCAGTACTAAAGATGGCCTGGTAGAGAGGAGGAACCTTCGTCTCACATTCTAGACCTAACTGTCTGCCTTTGTACTCATTGAATGTGAAGAAAAACTAACTTCTTTACTGGGTTTTCTATTATACACAGCCAAATTTAATGCCAACTGCTTTATGATAATAGTCTTTAACTGAAGCTATATATTTGTTTTGCCACATAAAATGTTATTGCTGTTACAAATACAACTAAGTATACAATCTGTTACCTGAA